AAAAAAAGATATGGAAGATAGAGATTTAATGGGAGAGAAGGAGCAAAGAACACCAGACCACCCACCAACCACCCATGAAGGAAATGCAGGTTGATTGGTTATTGATCATTGTATAGGCTTATAGAGGTAAGGCAATTAAAGAGATAGGAACTCCGAAGTTATCATCAAATGGGCGGACAGCCTTATAATCACTATTTTGGCGAGCGCCTGATTTCACCACGATGCCTCACAAGGTAGAAGGCCCCGTTGGGGATTCGAACCACGGCTCTCAGCTCCGATTCCCGTTGAATATTAAATGTGTTGCGGCGTGGTGGAAACGGGCGCTCGTCAATTTTTTTATATATGGAGTTATTGGTATCATCTTAAAGCGTGTTCATTTGCCTTGTTCTAGGTGAAAAATATCCATCTACATATTTTTGTGTTGAATAGAAGACGAAATATTTGCGGTTGAAGAAAGTCAGGGTCGCTTGGTTTCATAGGTGAAATAAGTGAGAAAATCAGAAGAGGCAGAGGCAGACAGAGGGAAAAGATACTGGACAAGATGACAACATGGCTAGGAGCAGCAAGAATAACAGACACCATTGCTGCAACACAAGACAGAGTGAAGTGGAGGTCCATGATCGCCCACGCCAGTCGGCAAGGCACCGGATGATGAAGTGAGAAAATGGCCTCCAAAGTTTTGTAATTGGGAATCTGAAAATTGACATTTTCTGTGCTTTTAATCAATGTTTTTCAGTAAAATCAACACATAAATTTGTTTTTAAATGGATATAAAAGGTGTTGAGCAATTTAAAAAGAAAGAAAATTTGGAAAAAATTTCCCAACCGTCAGAAAATTGCCAATATCTTTGATTTCACTATTTTGGCGAGCGCCTGATTTCACCACGATGCCTCACAAGGTAGAAAGTCTCCATGAAAACACTCGACTCGTGGGGCGGGGTGGTGTTTAAAAAATTAAAGGAGGTCGTCTGAATGTTACCAATGTATCTCAGTGTACTTGTGTGTGTGTGTATGTGTGTGTGTGTGCAAGTGTGTGTGTGCAAGTGTGTGTGTGTGTATACGTGTGTGTGTGTGTGTGTGAGTGTGTGTGTGTGTGTCTGCCTGTGTGTGTGCAAGTGTGTGTGTGTGTATACGTGTGTGTGTGTGTGTGTGAGTGTGTATGTGTGTGAGGGTGTGTTCATGATTTTGTGTATGTAAGGGTGTGTGTGTGTGTGTAGGTGTGTGTGTGTGTGTGTGTGTTCATGCTTTTGTGTATGTAAGCGTGTGTATGTGTGTGTATGTGCGTGTCTGTGTGTGTGTGTATATGTGTGTGTCGTGTGTGTGTGTGTGTTGTGTGTGTGTGTGTGTGTGTGTGTGTGTGTGTGTGTGTGTG